TTGCGGGCCAAGATCGGTAGTAACTGTTTGAATTGTGTTGGAAGAGGATGTGTAGGCCAGTGTGGTAGACTAGCGGGTAAGTAGCGAGTCTTGTAGCTTTTTAAAGCGCGTCTTTGTAATTAATTTGTGCTAATAACCAATTTTAGGCTGTTTAGTTAGGTTTTGTTTGAGATTTATTTAATGGGTATCGATAGTAATATAAAGGTGGGGAGGGATATTGTGTAGATAAAAGTAAATTACCTGTGTAAGCTACATACGGTTTGAAAAGATTGACCAGATCGTTATCTTGCGGAATAACTTAAGCTTTTTTAGGGTTGATGGATGTTAATCTTCGTTTGAAGAGCTGTTAACTTGACAGTTAAGGAAAGTTCCAGCTGTGTCTGGGTACAAGTGACAGGATGAACAACCCAGCGGGTTTTCTTCCTCTTGGCGAGTGTTGTACATGCTGCTATGGCGGTGTCCACTCAAAAGATTAGTGGCGCTGCCCAATGAACTCGCCCCTCGGGGCAAAATTTAAAAAAGTGCCAGAACCCCTAGTGACCTTGAAAAGGCCATGAAGTCATGGTCTTGTCAATTCCCCCACTTTTGAAAGCAGTTTAAACAGTACGGCTTCGGCGGTTTCATAGGCTTATACCTATGTGTGAACATGTTCTAGCAACCACGTTAGAAGCTAAATCTGATTGTTTTGAGCTTTTAAAAAGCATCTTCAGCTGAGGCTGGCCCTTTTATTACGCGTAACGTGCGGCTGGAGTTTTTAAGTGTACTTCTCGGTTAAGGACAGACAAATGGTCATGTATCGAATAAATTAGGGAAAGTTTGAGATCTAAAACTGTCAGAAGTGATAACGGAGATAACTACGTTTTTATTCTGTATTTACTAAACATTATCAGCCGAACAAGACTTTGGGAGTACAGGTTGGATAATTCAGCAGTTACCAGGGAGGATGATAGTTTATTTAAACAAATGGTAACTCTAGTCTGATAGTTTTTGCCAGGGTGCTTAAAAAAAAAGGGCAGCTTTGATAGGTTTCACTTATTAGTCGGGCAGTACTAGACGTGTGAAGGTATTAATGTGGTACTAGTTTCAAAGGAAAGAGAATTTTAATGAATTTTTTTTATAAATTATAAGGTTACCTGATCAACCAGGCTGTGACTCATACGTCAGGCTGCGAGCAGCCTGGTTGATCAGTCCAGCAACCAGGAGGCCTGGTCGACGACCGGGCCGCGGGGACGCTAAGCCCCGGAAGCACATCAAGGTAAGGTTTTAATTTCCTTGTCAAATTAACGGCCAATTAGCTTGGTTTATTGTGGGCAGTTACTTTAATCTTAAAACTACAAATATTCGTATTCCTCTTGGAGAAATCATACATAAATTGCATAGTTCTACTATTAGCTGTTAATGATAACACTTGCATAGTTGATGAAATGGTGATAAGGTTTGTGATGTGTACCATGACTTTAGCGAAACTTTTTGATAGTGCCAAATGGAAAAAAATGATAAAGGCTCAAAATATTGGGTGCTGTATGAAGTTTAGAGCATTGCTATACCAAAGTGGTTAGTATAAATGGTGTTAAAGGAAATATTGTTGGTGCCTCAAGGCTATTCTGGGACCTCGGTTGAAGATGTTGGAGCAGGAATAATTGCAGAATTGCAAAATAAAAAAAATCGGGAAGGAAATACTTTATCACTTAGAGGATGGTTTTGAAATGGTATAATTGCCAGATGCAGTCTAATGCTGACAAATACAAGGTTTTGAGGCTAGGAAATGATAGTACAGATAAGAGCTACATGGTGTGGATTACAAGAGGGACCAGAGTTTGATAAAAAATGCATAAATGTTCATAATTGGGGCAAATGGGACGGTAATTTGTCAGAGCACTAGTAATAAAATACCTGGTATTCTCCAGGTATCTTGCTCTTGTTAAGCCCCATTTAGGTGATGCAGTTCTGGTTGGCATGCTATAGAACGGTTATAAAATAATGCATTCAACGTACGATGAGTTAACCCCACAAACTGGGAAAAGTGTTGTATGAGAAGATTGGAAAGGCATAAATGCATGCCTCTAAAATGGCAAAATTAGTGACATGATAGGTGTAAAAGTGGACAAATGGACATAAGGGAATATTAATGAGGTATTAAGAGTATGCACAAGACGACCCCGAAACAAAGGGTACGAATTGGATAGTTTAGCTTTAGGAAAGACCTGGGTAAATAAGAGTTCGACAAAAGGGTTTTGGTTGAACAAATTAACGCGTAACAATGTGGAAGTGGGATCCCTAGATAAATCCACAAGGGCCGTGATGAGGATTGTAACCTGCGTCAGAGCATCACTCTGCTTTAATAGACTGAGCACATGGTAAAATCTTTTACCATGTCGTAGCTCAATCGATTAAGGCAGCGTCTGGTATGCTCTCGGACGCCAGTTAGAATCCTCGTCACGGCCCTTGTGGATTTGTTCATGTAATGCATCACGTTGATTTGTGATCCCTAGATAGTTTCAAGCGTAGGTAAATTGTTCAGTATAAGTGGGTGGATATAAGGAGCTGCATTGTATGGGCTAACAGCCCTTCTGAAGTTACCTTCATTCTTATGTTCTAACCTGCTTAGGCCTAGTTTTAATCGGAAGCTAATATGGCTATTAACTAGAAAGTTAATTAAAATATTTCAATAGTGAAAGCCAAAGTTGATAACAATGTATACTGTTGACTGAAGTTAAATAGGTGTTGCATCACCATACCAAAGCTTTAATCTTGGTAATCTAGTTTACAGCACTCCTTACTTATAGAACGACAGCTGAAACGGCTGAAACATCGGGAAGAGACCAATATTAACAAGACCTCGTCGTGGATAGTCGTTAACGACAGGGGTCTTGAAGACCTTGACAAGGCTGCCTACAGACGCCCTAAGGACAGCAAATTCATTTGCCGTGTTGGACGAAAAGTGCTGTGGTGAGCCTGCAGTTCACTCGAAACGGAAGTCGGCGAGGAGCGGCGAAGCGCAGACCCCTCAGGCTTCTCAAAGTTAAGGAGGTACCAACGCGAATTTTGGTTGTGGGAGATTCCCAGGTGAGGTATTTACAGAACGTTTTGTGCCAGAGATAGGGGAACAGATTAAGGGTTTGCTATCCGGGAGCTGGAATTGGTGATTTTGTTGGAAACTTGAATGATATTTCATGGGTTTGGGTTTGTTCCCATTTCCCATTATTTGTATTAGTGCAGGGGGTAATGATGTTGGACGAGTTAGGAGTGAGGAACTAATAGATATTCAGGACGGCCATTGAATTAGTTAGGAGCAAGTGAGGAATCCTGATATGTCCCTTTCTTCAAAGCAAGGGAGTGGGTAATGAATGGATGTTGAGGTCACTTGGTGTCACTTCTGGCTGGAAAGATATTGCAAATCAAATGAAGTATCTTTCATAGACAACTGGAAACACTTCTATGGAAGAAATAATGTATGCTCGTGATGGGGTGCATCTATAGAGGGCTGGGGTTGTTGCTGTTGCAAACTGGTTGGAACCAGTGGTTAGGTGTTTGGGTTTAAACTGTTAGTAGTGTTATGGGAATTGATTTGGAGGAAGGAGGCAATAAAAGTATGTGTTCGTGGGAGAAAAGACTTGGCAAAATGATCAGGGAAAGATAAGGGCCTCAAAATAACAATTCACTTAGGGTATATTGCACTAACAGTCGAAGTCTAAGAAATAAAATTAACGAATTAAGTGCTCTTGTCTGCACAGGAAAAAAATTATTGCACATGCTGAAACATGGATGAATGTAGAAAATAGAGGACTATTAGCTGAACATAAAATAAATGGATTTAAACTATATCAGATATATTAGACGAGGGGGAGTAGCCATGTATGTTGGGGACAATTTGAAATGTATTCTCAACGAGGGAATAAAAACTGAGCCACCCGCAAACTATTTGGATAGAATTAAAAGAAAGCAAATATTATAATAGAAGTTATATATAGGCCACCAAATCTAGACAGAATGGAAGCAAAGCATCTATGGGATGAAATATCTAGAGCATCTAGATCTAATAGTTTGTCATGGGTGACTTTAACTTTAGTGGAATAAACTGTTTGAACAAACGGAATAGTGAAGTAGATTTTCTAGAATTAATTGAAGATGGTTTTCTTATGCAACACATTGAGGAACCAACGCGGGAAAATATTTTAGATTGTGTTAACAGGGAAACGCAAATTAATGACATCGAAATAGGGAGTGAGCTAGGGAGCAGTAATCAGAGAAGTCAGATTTAGCATGGAATGGAATAGACCTGTAGGAAAAAATTCTGTTAGTGCCAGATTTTCGAAAAGCTGATTTTAATAGCCTAAGAAATTTTTTGGGTCAAATAGATTGGGAAGTCTTGGGTATGGGGTGTGGGCCGGTCTTGGAGAGACATGAACCCAGCAATAGGTGACGAAAAGGGGATTTCGATGTGGATTTAATATATAACTTGTTTAAGAATATTCTAAAAGCGCAGGAATGTAGTATACCATACAAATTGAATTGATCAAATACTAAAGCCCAAAGTGGATAACAAAGAATTTAAAGAACCTTATCGGAAAAGAGAGCTTGGTACAAAAGGATTAAGTATGGGGAAGTCGGTTTAGAACAGGAATTCATTAAACTGGTTAGAAATATTAGTTTCTTTTTGCTTTCCTAATCTCTCTGAAGTTCGCATAGCAGAGCAAGTAAAGTAAAATGCTAAAGGGTTTTTTCAGTTATATCGAACTAAGACTAGGGAAAGGATAGGTCCATTAAAAACTGACAGGTCAAATAAAGGACAATGACAGAGATTAGTATTTTTAACAAATATTTTATCTGTATTTACTAAAGATTACTAAATTGCCATCTGGTGCCCATTTGAAAACTGATCCACTTTGTGTTTAAAGGTTTAGTGATTTTCATTTCTTTGGTCCTGCATAAATTTACTCAAAATATTCCTAAAATGTGCCATTTTTGTTAGTCTTTAATTAAATTGTATTTGCAGGTGGTAAATTGTTTCTGCTGCTACAGCTTTCCAGCCCAAGTTGTTGACTGGCTAGTCTTTTACTGCCTCCCAACATGTTAGTGAGGTCCTGAGCTGATGTACCCTATGGCGAAGAGTGAGGCACTAGTTTCCTGAAGTAATGTATAGCATGAGATGGCACCCATTCTAAACAGCAGCCGGCACCAACTCTGGCCGACGTTGGAGTGGACAAGACCCAGATCCTGTGGGGAGGAAAAGTCTACACTAAACTGTGCAAGGTGCAGATAATCTGACCCCCCCCCCTTTGGCAGTTTCTCGGGTACCCCCCTCTTTTCCGTTTCCTTATTTTGTAAAGCTTTACCTTAAACGGCAGCATAGCTTGGCACTCGTGGCTTTAGTGGGACTGTTCCATTGGATTGTAACTGTGGGTGGGGGGGGGGAAAAGCATCTAGTTTTGTTCTACATTGTAGTCTCTCTTTAAACCATTTTAATGTTGCACTCAACTTATTCTTGACAGTTTTGCAAACTTATAGATTTTCAGTGTGAAGAAATTGGTACCATCCTGTCTGACTTGCAATGTACCGTTTTTTATTAATAGCAGTTTCATAAAGAATGACTTATTGGCTGGTATTAAATATCATCCAAAGCAGATAAAATCGGTAAAGTGTCCATGCCTTGGTATGATTAGTTGGGCGAATGAGTGTTGTATAACTGCTTTCTAAAGTGTAGACTTTTATTTTCAGGGTGTTGGTTTTTCTCACTGAAGCTACCACTCGTGCAATTTTGATTGGTGATTGACTTAGTCCTCCTCGTGATCTACGGCAAGGTAATATTTTTAGCATTTATATTATGCTGCACATGTTAAGCTTTAGTTTTAAATTAGCTTGTCTTCAAATTACACGTGTTGATGACCATTTTTGTATGGGCTTCATACCCTTCACTTTAACATGAATTAACATCCTTAAGTCTGCCCAAAAAAATAGAATATATGGTTCTGCGACGTTTAGTAATTTGTAAGACCTTTTCACTATTTTTAAACTATTGTTTTTTATCCATTGTAAGTTATTAAATGTGCTTTAACTTACCAGTAGTGTGGTAGGTTTGGAAAGCTTTAAAAAAATCCATGTATCTAGTTGCTGGAGCTCCTATATTAGGAGCTTAACTTGCAATGTAAATTTGCATGATAGCCTTGTTTATATAATTTTGGGGGAAGCAACACTTTAAATATTTAATGGAAATGGTGACTGAATCCAATAGATACCAAAAAATAACCAGAGCAAAGTGTACTTACAAAAGTAGGCAATTGTTCCATTAAATTTAGATAAAATTAATCAGTTTGGTAGTTCCAGGGAGATTTGTGTAGTCGGTCTACTATTGTGAAATGTAGTTTTATTAATTATGCCAATGCTGCTTTTTATAGTCTTTGCACCTGTTTCCTAAGATTGACAGCATGAGGTGAATCTTCCAGCTTCGGTCTTGAAGTTGTAAATAATTAGGTAATATAACTTTTATTTATAAGAAAATGAAATTAAAAGTGTAGCATAGGCTTGTATCTCCCTTGGGAGAGTTGTCAAACCCATAGATATTTCCTTGTCAAAATACTTTAAAGGTTGTAAGTTGTGCCTATTGTAATTTAGAAATAACGTATTGTCAGTCTTGAAGGGCATGACAATGATTAGGTTTATAATCAAGAATCGTGGCGTAGACGACAAAATTGATTCTACTAAAATACTAAATTGTATAATTATAAATTAACATTGAAGCACAATGAATGTGGTACTGCAGTTTAATAATTATGGTCCACAATTTTGTTAAAAATTTGAGTGAATATTTCCAGAAAGTTGATTGTGGCCATACCTGTTGGAGTAGTAAAGACAAACGTTCAAATTGCTCCTCTTGATATAACCCCCAAGCTGTAGGCTGCTGTTCGATTAAGAGGTAATCGTATTTTACTTATTTAAAACTGGCCACTGTAATGATTAATCTCTACTCGATATACAGGCTCAATAGTCTCTGTAGTAAATATACTCTATTGTCAATGAAGTACAAAAGTCTTAGGTGATACATTGACTGAGGAAAATCAAAGTTCATTGAAATAAATTTATTGAGGTAAAATCCAACGAGGGATGAGGTAGCTAAGGCAGTTCATAACTTAAGAACAAAGGCAACTGCAGAAGGCCTGTTGGACCATACGAGGCAGCTCCTATTTATAACCACCCAATCCCACTCATATATATGTCCAACCCATGCTTGAAACAATCGAGGGACCCCACCTCCACAATGTTACGCGGCAATTGGTTCCACAAATAAACAACCCTGTTACTGAACCAGTATTTACCCAAGTCTTTCCTAAATCTAAACTTATCCAATTTATACCCATTGTTTCGTGTTCTGTATTGTGTTGATACTTTTAATACCCTACCCCCTCCCCTTCCGGCCCGTTGGCGTCGTGAGGGGGCTTGGTGGACGGCTGCCGGAGTGTGATGCTCCGTTGGGCAGTCCTCTGTCCTTTTCTGGCCTTGCACTCCTGCTGCTGTCTTCTCCAATTGTGCCGGATCGCTTTTCCTTTTCCTTATGTTTCGTTTTTCTCCCCCCTCTTCTCCTATCTGCTTGTCGTTTCCTGCCGACCTTTTGCTTGTTTTGGATTATTTCTTTGGTCTTCTATTTTGACGCCCGGGTGCTTGAGGAGGCATACTCTTGCACCCGTAGAACTGTAGTACCCGACGTCTCGAGCGAGGGGAACCTTTTATTGTCAATCCCCCTTTCGTCGCTGAACCCGATCTCGACGGACTGACGGTTCTTAAGGTGGCGTTTGTGGGGCGTATACTCACGACGCACCCCTAGGGGGCCCCGGCATGATCAGCGATAGCTTCCTGTTGGGTGTCCTGCCTCTAATTGTGGCTCCATGGTGGGTATGGGGGCACATTCGTGGATGAATTTGTCACTTTTCGTCTCTATGTCGTTGAATGTTTCCGTTGTACCCTCTCAGGCTCGTGGGGTGGGCGACCAAGCCCCCAAGTCGGCCTGTATTGGAAGACCAGGCTCTGTAGCTCCCGCTGCGTTGGGCCCCGACCTTGCTCCTCCTTTGACCGTCCTGACTTCTTCCCCCAGCTCCCCTCCCTCCTCTGAGGTTGGGTCGAGCCTCCAGCCCCCGGTGGTGACCACTTCGTCCCCTGGTGTGGCTAAGTCTTTCGTTGTGACTACTGCGCCTTTTGACCCCTCTCTCTCTCTAGGGGTTCTCAACGCCGTTCGCGCCCCAACCGCACTCGCTCGATTCTTTCCCGTGCTGATGCGTATCAGGCCTTGTTTGGTCCTGCTTCATGGGCCAAATACTTTGATCTCCTCCCTCTTGATTCTGCGCCTCCTGACGATTTCTCCCTCCATCGGCATCTTGTAGATTCCGTGGATGCGTGTGTTACTTTCAACCCCACTCGTCTCGGTACACGTGTCGTTGCTGCTCCTTCTCAGGATGCGGCTTCCCGCTTGGCTGCCTTATCTTGCCTTGGCGAGATCCCTGTTCGGGTCTCCAAGAACGTTCAGATGAATTCCAGTGTTGGCACTATTCTCCTCCCACCCCATGTTGCAACCGGTGTTCGGAATCTGCAGGATTGCCACGATGATATTCGGCATATCCTTGATGCCCAAGGCCATTCTGTCCTCCAGGTTGACTCGTTTACTCGTCCCCCTCGTGGTCGTCGCCGTCAACCCCTTCGCGTTGTGAAGATCACCTTTGATGGTAGGACCCTTCCATCCTCTGTCATTCTTGCTGGTGCTAGGTGCTCTGTCCAGGAGTATATTCCTTCTCCTCGACTTTGTAATAAGTGCTGGAGGTTTGGGCATGGTGCCCTCCGCTGCTCTGGGACTGTCTCTCTCTGTCCTTTGTGTGGGAGTGAAGGTCACTCTAAGTCGGAGTGCACTTCTCCCCAAGCTCGCTGCCTCAACTGCGGTGAGGCCCATCCTACGTTCTCCCGTGCCTGTGTCCATTACAAGCTTGAGGCGGCCGTCCTTAACCTGAAGCACCGGGAGCGTTTGTCTTTTCCTGAGGCGAGGCGCCAGGTTCGCCGGCTCCCGCCTTATACTAACATCTCTTATGCTCGCGTGTTGCGCTCTTCCTCTCCTCGTCCTTCCCCCCTTCCTCAGACTCTCAACCGTTTCCGGGCCTTGGACCCTGATACGCCCACTGCCCCCTCCTCTGTTCCTTTGAGTTCTTTCCCGAGGGGTCCCCCTCCTGGTCCTCTGTCTGGGGTTCCCCTTCTTTCAACCCGGTCTGTCATGTCTCCTGTGTCTTCTTCCTCGTCCCCCTCCGATCCTCCTTCCCATCCTCTTCCTCCATCTATCGGCTCTCCCCGCCGCCTGTCGGTGCAGGCGGATGTCCATCGCTCTCCTAACGGCCGTCGTGTGTGCTCTCGTTCGGCTTCTCCTGTTGAGACACTGGAATCCGTTGCCCGGTACGTAGTTGCTGGGACACCTGTCTCTTTAAGTCAGAAGCGTAAGCCTGGCTCCTCTCCTTCCTCTTCCCCGGCGGGTAAGAAGGCTTCGCTTTCTTCCTTAGCTCCTACTTCTGGCTCTGTTGCTCCTTCCCCTCCCGTTTCAGTGGTTGCGCCCCCTGTTCCTGCTATGGAGGTTTCTTTGGCCCCTGCTTCCCTTTCGGTTGCTGCTCTTGCTGGGGTGCGCTCCCCTCTTTCTACTCCCCCTCTTCCTACTCCCCCTCTTCCTACTGCTGTCCTTGACTGCTCCTCTCCGTTGTCTCCTCCTCTTCCTCCTCTTCCTCCTCCTCCGGACCCCGCCCGCCCACCTCTGATCTGTTCTCCCGTTTCCTTCCCTCCGTCTTTGCTCAGTTTACCCATGCCCCCTAACCCTGACTTTGCTGACCCTGATCCCGACCCTGATATTCTTTAACGTGCTCTGTTGCTCTTTCGCCTTTGTTTCTTCCTTGTTCTCTGTTTTTGTCCTTTCTCTTCCCGTCGTTGTCCATTCTTCAATGGAACGTTCGAGGTTATTACGCCAATTTCCTCGAACTCCAACTTCTGATTTCGCGGTTTTCGCCCCTTTGTGTCTGTCTCCAGGAGCCAATGCTTGGTGCTCGTCCTGGTTGTTTTCGTGGCTATTCCTTTCTCTCCCCCCCCCCCCCCAGCCATTGCTGGGGCTTCTAATTCTTCTGCTCTCTTGATTCGTGCAGATGTTCCCTTTGTTCCTTTACTTTTTCCTTCAACTCTCCATTGTTCTGCTGCTCGTATCTTTGTGGGGAAATGGTACACAGTTTGTTCCATTTATCTCCCCCCGAGTGTCCCGCTCTCTTCCTGATTTGAAACACCTCCTAGACTCCTTGCCAGAGCCTGTGCTCCTGCTGGGTGACTTCAATTGTCGTCATTCTCTTTGGGGTGACGTTCTGACGAGTACCCGGGGTCGCCTCCTTGAGCCGTTTCTCCTCTCTTCTTCCCTGTCTCTTCTGAATTCCGGTGAGCCCACTCATTTGGACTCTCGAACTCGCACCCTTTCTTGTCTTGATCTTTCTCTCTGCTCTTCTTCTCTTTACTTAGATTTCACGTGGCAGGTTCTTGATGACCTCCATGGAAGTGATCATTTCCCCATCCTTGTTTCCTTTTTCTCTTTTCGCCCTTCCCTCTCTTTCCCTAGGTGGCAGTTTGCTAAGGCGGACTGGACCCTATTTTCCCTCAGTACTACTCTCTCTGACCTCTCCCTTCTGCCCCTCTCTCGCGCTCTCCTCCTTTTTCATGACACTGTCTTCGACGCTGCTCTCCGCTCTATTCCTCGCTCTTCCTCTCGGGGTCCACGGAAGTGCGTTCCCTGGTGGAATGCGGACTG